GTCCCTTCCAATCCAAACTATTCTATAATTCCATGATGAAGCAGAGAACTTGCAGATGATAGCAAATTAGTAGTGATACCCAACATACTGAACAGTAGGACTTCTATCCAGAACGACATTGAGAAACTTGAGCACCGGGCTAAGCAAACCATCATGAAGCTCAACAAGGAAAAGTGCAACCTTTTGCAACTGGTGAAAAAGAAACCTAAGTGTCAGTACAGGATGGAAAGTGACTGGTTGAGCAGCTCTGCTGAAAAGGATCTGAGGATTACCGTGGACGTCAAACTGGAGATGAGTGAAAGGTGTGCTCCCTTCAAAAGAGAGGGAAACCACATGGTGGACTTTATTAGAGAAAACATGGTCAGCAGATCAATGGAAGATATCATCCACACTCTACCTGGCTTTTGAGTGGTCAGTTTTGAAATACTGTGTCCAGTTTGGGGCTTTCCACTTCAAACGACATCCTGAAAACTATGAAAAGGTTGAACAGATGGCTATGATGGCTAAGGGCATAACAAGCCATGAGGAGAGGTTAATAGCAGCTGGGGTTGTTTAGTCTGGCAATGAAGACAGTAAGAGGCCATCTGATATCAGCCTATTACAGTCATTAAGCCTATCCCTAACCTGAAGGGAAACTGCAAAGATGATGAGACAAATTCCGCCAGGTAACAGCACATGGTATAACACAGGAGAACACAAGCAAGTTATGGCTTCGGAACTTCAGTGTGGAGATTAGGAAGAACTTCTTTACTAGGAGGGTAGTACTGCACCAGAAATTTTGGTGAGACTGTGGAATCTCCATACTTGTAGGTTTTTCAAGATCAGGCTACACAGACACATCTGATCTGATCCAACAATGTTGACAGGCCTGCTCCAAGCAGAACCATGACTAGTTGACCTCCAGAAGCCTCCTTCCAGAAAACATGCCTGTGATTCCAAGCAGTTGGGATGGAAGAGTCAAAACGAAATGCAGACTTCAGTGGAAGATTCAGGACAGATATGGGTCAAGTTTGGGTGCAGGAGGGAAAGTGCCTGTACTTACAAACCGTCACTTTGCACAAAAGGCAGACAAGAATTCAAGATTCCTAGGACTCACTACTGCTCTGCTGTCATTTCATACTTGGGAAACCCGCTTGCAAGATGTGTCTCATTCCCTTTTAGTGATGATCCGCACAGATTACATCAATTTTCTGCTTTTCTGTCACAGTCATTTTGCTAGCAAAAGTGGTAGAGGTTTGTCTAGATGTGCTAAAGATGCCAAGCCTCCAAAGATATCTGTGGGTACTAACATGACATCAGAAGACTGTATTTACTGTCCTAGTCTACACTGCAGAAGTCTATGATGTTACACACAAAAACGTAGTCAATTTATATTACGAATAAGAATTAATTAATACATATATTTTCCTCATAAGTAGACATTAATTCTGAGTTCCCCCAGCAGCAGCACCACCACCAGGTACCTGAGACCCTGAGACATTATTTCATGGGAATTAACAATTGCAACCAAGCTTTGAACAGATGAAACTGCATATAATTGAACACACTGAAAAACAAGTCCCACACAGTTCCAATTCTGCACCCAAATTTGGTGACTATTCTTCACTTTGATCTCATAGTACTCACTTTCCCATCTGCTAAATGAAATTAGTGATTGCTCTCACTAGCAAGAGATGAAAAAAGTAAGAATATGTGTTCATAAAAACCTTAAGATATTTAGAATCTTTAAAATAATATGAATAACATATTTGGAGAAAGATTCAAAGACAATTCAGCATACTAAACACAGAAAACAAAATAGTCTATTCTATTAAGATATCTTCACCTTAAGTATTATCCAATTCCAGAACTGAATGAGGCCCCATTTTTTCCAAAGGGTTATTATTTTTAATTTTCTCTGTTGCTTTCATATATTAAAGAAATTATCATAGTACCCACCCAGGCTCATGCAGCTTCAAAAATGCAGGTTTGCAAAATAGAGCACTTAGTAACTAGAAAACATTACAGTTTAAATAATACAAATATGTAAGCTAGACATTTCTAATAAGCATTCTTCTATGATATGGAGATCACAGTCTCCTAAATATCGTGGAAAAAAAAAGGAACAGCAAGGGTACTCCTTTGTACATAAAACAAGGAAGAACATGATCAATGTATCTATTTAATAGACTCTTGGCATACAACAGAAGATAACCACAGAAGACATTCCATTTGTGATGTACAGTTTCTAGATGAAGCTCAATCATTAAGTAGTGATACAGTAACTTCTTTTTTTTAATGCAAGAGAAACCTATTTTCACTTAACACAGATGGTGCCTGTGCTCTATGTCAACTTATGTGCTTTTTAAACTAGGACAAAAAAAAAAAAAAAAAGTAGTGAAAATGCAAGTTGGAGGTGGTACTCACTTTTAAACCATCTTGACTTTAACAAGTATATTTTTAAGGGAAAAATAATACTTCTCTCGTGTGTTGTTCACAAATAAACAGAGAAGTTGACAGACCACAGTTTGAAAAAAGGGAATGAGGGAATGAGATTATGCTCAGTTTCATCAACACACTGAAAACAAATTAAGTATTTTCAGAGTAGCAAAATTCTTCTAATGATCTTTGAATATTTTTAATGGCATAGAAGTAGTACTTCTTTTTCAGTCAAATTAATGCTGTTAGATTTGATGGAAGATTTTTTTAAATAAAGGAATTTAAGAATAAAAAAAAGAGGCAGACCATCACATACTGGTACACCTGAAAGTTTCAGAATAAGAGACTGTGCAATTCAATGGATACAGAACATTTTAACTTTACTATAAACCAGCTCCTGTTCATCAAAACTCTAAAGGAGATACCCTCCCCAATTTTTTTCAACATCTACTGTCATATGTGCTCATTAAATAAGAATTACTGCATTTTAATAGCCTAATTTACAAATACCAAAGTTTGCCAAGTGCTTACAGATAACTTTTTAAAAAATTCTTAAAAATTTTGATTTGAATAAGCTTCCCAAATTTTAAGTCTTTACTTACCGAGAAAGTGTTGATTTCCCTGAACCAGGTAGGCCTCTTAAGATTACGAGCAACTTCTGTGAACAACCAAATCTTTCTTCAGGTAACTGCAAGGAAGAAAAGCTGTGCAATCCTTCTGTATTGTCAGTTTTTGGATCCTTCCAACACTCTTCCCTGGTTTCACAGAAACCATTAATTTGGAGTCCATTCTGGTCATTATTTCCATTTCTGAAGACCTGAGTAGTATGGATATCAATGGGACCAGCATAGTTGGTACTTTGATCAAGCAATGGACCATGACTGTTGATATCAGTATTTCCCTGGTAACCATGATAATTTTTGTAAGGAAGTTCACCATTCTGAGAAGCAAGGGGGTTTGTTTTTTGTGGTGGAGAATTAAGTATCTGAAAATGCGACGGATGGTTGACTCTAGGAGGAAAAGGTCCCTGAGGTACTATGAATGACTCTGTTGACTGCCAAGCAGGTCTGAATTCAGGCACTGAATAGTTCCAATATTTAGAATCTACTTGTCCATTAAAGGTATTTTCAGTTTTCCAGCCACTTGTTTCTGTGACAACCTGCTCATTGCTTGTTTTCTGACTGTTCTGTTCCCCAAAGAAACACTGTTCATTCTCATAAAATGGTTGTGGGCTGCCCAACAGTACACGTTGATAATCCTCTTGCGAGGTTTGACTACAGTTATATGGAGAGTATTGCTCCTGAGAAGTTTCAGTTTCTTTTTCCTGCAAATTAGCATCTAAATTTTCACTTTCCAGCTGGTGAATTTCTTTATAGAACTGGTCCAGTTCATCATCTATTTCTGATACAACAGAAGAAATAGTCTGCATGTTCTTTGCCTCCTTTCTTTTAGCTCTGTTTTCATGCAATTCATTCTGATCTCCCTCACTGCTTCTACGTTCATTGCAACCACCAGATCTGTCCTGTTGGTTACTTTCCACAGGTTTGTAAATCGGTCCGATAAATTCTTTGCTTGTAAAAAACTCTTCATCTGATGCATTTCTATTTACTGAGAATGTTGTACTGCTGTTTACAATACTATCTTCACCAGCACTACTTGTTATAAAAAGGCCTTTGTTTTCTTCAACTTTAGCGTCATTCATTGATGCACATGGAAGATTTACATTTTGCACAGTTTCTGAATCCACTGGCTGAGTAAGTGCTAGATTATATTCAGGGAGAACTTCATTCAGTGTTCCCAGGACACGAGTAGGTATTTTCTCTTGCTTCTCCATTTCATATCGCCCTTGGTTATCTGAGGCATGCACAGATATTAAATCATTTGATGTTCTCTCAGCGTCCATCTCCTCTTGAATACCTTGGTTATCATCATCAGAAAGTTTCTCATAAGCCCCTTCTGTTGACTTCATTTTTTTAGAACACGGTTCAATTGTGTTTTCATCCTGACACTCCAAGAGCCTTACTGTACTTTCAGCATGAAGCATCTTAGAAAAAAATTAATACATTATCAGTGTGCACATTTTTATGATATGCATCCTCACACCCTCCACTGCCACAACTAAAATGTACTCAACCAGAACAAAAGCAGACATCACCTACTGGAAGTCTTGGCTAAACAACATTGTCACGTTATTGCATATCTTCAGCAAAGAAATGCATTCAGGCTGTATCAGTCTAGCAGTCACATTTTATGATTGTTGTGGTTTACAAATCATGCTTTCTAAATGTGAATATTTGAAAAATGAATTACATCAACAACCTCTATTCTCTACTGACCTATGTTAATCTGCCAAGTATTATAAATTTCTTTTACAGCATAAACAGTGCACAAACTGATGCCTGATATCACTACTACTATGACCAACAAAGACACAAATACTTCAGTTGCAAGGATTATTTCCTGTGATATTGTGAATTGAACTCAACTAATTCATTTAACACCAATCAAATAGATGCTAGACGGCATTTATAATTTGGTACTAGGCAAATAAGACTTAAAATTAAATCTGCAATCTTTTATTATGTTTCTGGGTTTGGAACCAACTAAAGACCTTTGTTAGGGACCAAGACCACTTGGTTGTATTTATTTTTAGAAAATATGCAAAAAAAGAAACCCCTGCCCCAAACAGACTGCAATCTAAGAACGAGCCAGGAAGATTCAGAGAGACAATAGCAATTAAAAACAAAGCAAGATGGCATTGACCACTGTGTTATGCAGTCATCCAGCTGTTAGAATTACTTGGATTTTCCTTTGTATTCCAGAGGTCTAGATAGAATGCAATAAAAAGCAATACGCATCTTAGTACAAATCAAGTACCAAGTAGTTTATTCAGCAAATCTTCCCACCAAAAACAAATGCAGTACCAAACAAGTATTTTTCCAACTAGGATAAACTAGGGTTTAGTCTACTGCTTTCTGTGAACATTTCAACTTTCTAGGAGTAAATATTAATAATATGTCACATGCTTTTCACTCCGGATAAGAAAATAAGTTTTTTTCTTTATCTGAAAAGGATCTGTAGATAGTATTAAGAGAAGATTTGTAAGTAACATTCTTCATCTCATGTTCACTTGCAAAACTGGCAAGAAAAAGTGTTACTGAGCACTTTCACATCTCCTATCCAAAGGGAGAGAATTCTGCCATCCTCACTCTCCGAATGTCTAAACCAAGGACATTTTACTGTTTGCATTTGACTTTACTACTTGTCAGAAGAGGGAGAAACATGGCCATGCAACTATCCATCTTCCTCAGAAGTGGTGGAACAATGTTGTAGGTACTATAGTCTCTCCTTCTCTGAAGATATACATGTTTTATGCATACCTCCAGCTTCTCTTCTTTTTGTAAATTAGTAAGCAAGAATGATACCATATGAATCAGGCACTCTATCCCCCATCTATACAAAAATGTTACTCTACCTTCACTCAAAAACAGGGTTAGAAAAAAAAAAGTTGCTTTATTAGCTTCTATATCCTCATCCGTCTTCTGGGATAGTGTTTAAGTAAAGCACATATTCTGATGTGGAATGAAAAGAAAGCATGTGAACACTTGCTGCGCAACCGTATCTCTAGTGATGGAGTTACTGCTCTGTGACTGTCTCACACAAGAATACCTTTTCTTGCTAATCTTAATAGACTTTCTCTCTGACTATCCTTTAGGACAGTGAAGTTGCATGCAAAAGCATCTCCACGTGCATTCTTGGGAAAGACAGAGCAAGTATGTACTGAGAAAGTGCAATCTAAGTGACAGTCTTGTCTCTTGAATGGATAGGCACAGGTCTGTCGTATTCCTGTGAGGAACCAGTTGTAAGTGTTGAACCTGAGCTGCACATGTGATTCACTTGGCTGGCACTCACAACACTAAATTACCACTTTAGGAACCTGCCAAGCATCCAGAAGACTCAACCAAGTAACTCATGGCCTTAAGCTCCACCTGTACAATAAACTTCCAAATGGAAAAAGAGGACATATGTGGCAGAACCTAAAGATGGGGGCCTGTTTTTGCCTGTGTGGCCACCTCTTTCTGGGTAGCAGCAAAGCATGTGGGCCAGCGTCCCTCACACAAAGGCAAGGCCACATCTCAGAGCCGGGGAAAGCAGGTACTGCTCCCGCACCGCGATGGCGGCAGCAAGGTCAGGAGCCTTGGGGGGTCAGGTACCTGAGGGGAAGGGCGTCCCCCAGCCCCAGATCTCGGTAGGTGTGTCAGCCGCTCCGTCCCTCCCTCCCCACGCCCCAGTGTAAGGCACCCCCCCTCCCCGCCCCACACACGCTTCCCTCAGCCCGGCACCTATCTCCCACAACCTCAGCAGC